CTTTTCATAACATATTCTGTAGTTTGTAATAATGCATTAGTGATGCTGTCACTTTCACTTCTATTGTTCGTGAATTTTACTCATTTCTTTAATTGCAGTGAAAAAGCTGCTCTTCAAGCTTTGAAGGCCAGTGATTGGCATATTGAAGGAGCTTTTGATTTTTTCTACAGTCAGCCACATATTAAAAGTTATCCTGATACTAAACATTTGGAAGAGCTTTATAACAGATATAAAGGCAAGCGCTTCTTCTAATTTTTTTCTCTCTCCCCAATTTGTACGCTGTACTTCTTATATGCCTTTCTTTAGTGCCATTGAGAAAATAGATAATACTATAAGTGTGCGGATAGAGGTTTGCCGTATTTTCTTTCTTTGTTTTAGGATTGTAGATGCAAGATTGACAGAGAATGCCAATGAATTCTCTTGTTTATTGGAGATATTGATATTTTTTAAGATTTTGGTTTTGTGAAATCTATGAAGTCACTATCCACTACTTACTTTCCATTTATTAATACCTCGTCTGTATGTATTAGCATATTTGATTCGTTTCATAAGAAAATTTAATTGTTTTGTTCAGATCCCTGCACAGATATGATATTGGTTGATGGTATTACTCTTCTATGCAATGACCTTCAGGTAGCCTTTGTTTTTTATCAATTAAGCATTGATGTGGCATTTTGGCCCATTCGCTTTGCTTTTCTATTATTTCATATTCAGATAAAATTATGTTTATTTCAAAATTGGGATGATGTGAGAACCTTTTTTTCTGACAGGTGGATCCTCAAGATATTGTTATGGTATGTCTGTATCCCGAAGCACAATCAGTTGTAGAAGACATTCATATGAAGAAAATTTATTATGTTTCTGCAAGTATATTATCTGCTTTAGCTTACGTTTTACCAAGGTTTCAAAGTCTTAACAAAAGGTCTTAGAATTTGGCAGAGGTTGTTGACTACTTTTATCTCTTTGCCACTTATCTTTTACAATTTACACTGCATGTTTGCATTGACCTTGGTATTTCCTTTTTTCTCATTGTGAATACTATTAGTTTCAAGATTTACACACATAGTTGTAGTAGTCTTGACAAATGGCTATAAATCTCTTTCTAAATTACCTTTTAAAGTACCTGGTTGGAGTTAAATGGTTTGCTATTTAGAGTTTGTGAGAGCAATGTTTTAACTCTAGCAGAAGCTAATGAGATAAAAGGATTATAAGGTTGAATTTTTGCTCACCACTTCTGGCTATTACTGAATTTCGATCTCTTATGATAACGACGAATGAAAATGATTACAGGTTTTGGGTACTTGAGAATATGTTCTACTAACACTAGAAAGTTATAACCTTGTAGGAGCTTTGAATTTATATTTACAAGCTGTTCCTATCTGATTAAAATATTTTGTAGACAGCTATGCTAATAATGCAGTAAATTGCAGTTAGTTCTTTCATGGCACATGAAGGCTTCTACCATGTGTGAATTTTCCAAACAAGAGTTCTTCACTGGGTTGCAGGCACTAGGGTCGGTATTTGTATTTTTTTGTTTTTCAAAATATTCTAATTTGAAATGGTATTATTGGACATTTGACCTACTCTGAAGAATGAAGATAAAGCTGAAAGAAATACTTTTTCATTGCAGGATAGATTCTTTGGAGAAGTTTCGTGAGAGGATATCATTCATGCGCTCTGAACTTAAAGATGAACGTACGATCAATGCTTTATAGATTATAATTTCTGTGTTCAATTAAAATTTATTTTAGCATTTCACACGCATATGTATACATACAATTAATTAGCTTGTCAAATAGGTTAGGTTTATTATTATGCTGTGACTCTAAAAGTAAACATATTATGTTGGTGTTGATGAACGTAATCAATGCTTTATAGATTTAATTTCGTTGTTCAATTAAAATTTATTTTGGCTTGTCCCATGCATATGTATGCAGACAGTTAGCTTGCCAAATAGGTTTGGTTTATTATCATGTTGTGACTCTAAAAGTAAACATATTATGTTCTTGGTGATGCGTGCTTGTTTTCATCTTTGCTTCTTTTGACTGCAGAAAAGTTCGGTGAAATATATAATTTTGCATTTGGCTGGGCAAAAGAAAAGGTATACCATGTTTCATACCAATCATTCCTAGTAGTAAGTTTTCTCTTGGAAGAGAGAGAATTCAACTAATCGACTGAATGGTTTTGGTAAAATTTGTTTGCTTGAATTTTTTTTTTGAATGGTGTTTCTTATTTTGTCAGAGGCTGTCTGCCTGACATGGTTATTCCTGTATTAGATCCGCTTTTGAATATTTATTGTTACGGAAGGCAAAATTTTGGCCTTCAGCTTCATTTTGTTTCTCTGCTATGTATTTAAAAATAAGTCTACTTTGAGCTTGATGATTTAATGCTTTCTGAATCAACTAGAATATCATTGTGCTAAAAGATGAATTGCCCTGATAGTAATGGGTACTTAAGCTGTATGCATGTACTAATATTTTATTGTCTGTCTCAGGGTCAGAAATCTTTGGCATTGGATACTGCTATTGGTATGTGGCAATTATTGTTTGCTGAGAAGCAGTGGCCATTGGTGGATCATTGGTGCCAGTTCTTACAGGTACCTTAGAAACATATTGTGTCTTTTCCTTCATGGTCATAATCACTAATTTGGAGTAAGAATTTGCAGTTGACCTGCAATGAGTTAAACTTTATTCTTTAGGTAACAGTTCTAAGGTATAATATTCATTGTTCAGATGTAAATTAAATTATGAACAGATATGATATGACATTTCTGCTGAAAAAGGTTATAATTCATTATTACAAAGGTTTATTCTTTCTTATGATTAAGTTGATATCGTAGGTAGTTGTTTTCCTAGGAATATCTTTACCATGAACTTTTATCTGAAAATTTGGAAATTGATGTGCTTTTTCATTGTTTCTTTCACAAAAGATTCAATTTTTGCATTTGGTAGTAAGCTCCATAAAATTGCATGCACTATCCTTCTGCCTATCTAGGTTTTCCAGATATTATAATAGATTATGAGGTTTCTTGCATTTCTTCTGCATCAATCTCTACTTTTATTTGTTTTCTATTGCGTTTTATGCTATGATGCCATTCGAAACAGGCTCGGCATAACAAAGCAATCTCTAGGGATACGTGGTCTCAACTTTTGGAGTTTGCTAAAGTAAGTTATAAAAGCTTCAATATCACTTTTTCTTAGGCAGTCTTGCTTTCATGTACATTTGAATCAGCTTTATTTTGCCATCAACTGCAAATTATTAGAAAACTTAATGCTACTGCCCGACTATGTTGCACTAACTCTATTGTGTCATGCATGACTCCATTACTCGAGATCAAGTTACCCCATGTCGTAGTGTAGTGACTTGGATGCATTTGACCTTCTAAAGTAGCCAGGGCAAAAGAAAAGTAAATTAGAGTATACCTCTCAACCAATTGATATATACTGATCATCATCATTTTAACTTCTTGAAACGAAACAGTTACATAAAAGGAAAAAGGAAAGTTGTGAAGAATTGGGTTTGAATCGCACAGCTTAATTATTCTTCTCCCCGTGACCTCCGAATGATATCGATATAGACAATAAGACAGCCAAGAGATGAAAGCGCTTAGACAACTCATTTTTAGTACTGTGAGGTTGTTGAGCTGTTTGCTACCATTTTATTTCTTTGGTTGTCTAGGACCAGGAGCAATCGCTGGCACCCCTACATTTTCCCTTTTTTTTATTCATAATCTTAACAACTTTGATTTTATTTTATCAAATCATAAGGAATAAAAAGTTGGATTCTTTTGTTGCTAATCCATTTTCTATTTTCTGTTTTTCATTTTGAGCTTACGCTCTTTCCTTTTTGAGATTGTTCTTGGTTGTTCATTAGAATGTTTTAACCAGTCATTGTCACAGTTGATCATACAGTATGGTTTCATGATCTGACATGGAGTGTTAAAGTTTGGATATGAATGATGATTTGGCTGATTGTGAATTGGACTTGTGCAACTGATCACAATGTGTGCCGGATTCTAATGTGTAGCTGATGGTTTGAAATGTTGATGTGTGCCGAATTCTTATGTCAGGTTACTGCATGTAAATTGTGTACCAAATTCATTGGTTAATTCCTTTAATGTCGTATTGTGATGCAGACAATAGACCCTTCACTATCAAACTATGATGCCGAAGGTGCATGGCCCTATCTCATAGATGAATTTGTGGAATACTTGAACGAGAATGGCATCATTTCAAACAGCCAATCTATGACTGATTGGAGCGAAAAACGATGAACAGCTGCTGCATTATTCGTGAGATTTGGGTTGCGTAAGTCGTCGATGGTCTGAAAACAATATGCAGGATAACTTATGTTGTTTTTATATGAATTTCTGTAGTCAAAATGTACTCATTTTTACTCGATTGGATTGTTGATATTTGACGTTATATGCATTTTTATTTTTAGTAACTAATGCTAGACGGTGACTTAAACAAGCATAAATACATATTTAGCCTTCAAATTTTTCACATTCTATCAACTTGGTCCTTATTCAAAATTAAAATTATTTTCTATATTTAAGATTTCTTTCGTTCTAGTTCACAAACACGTGTCATCATCAATGGGAAAGATAGCTCATGTGGTCATGACGCCTGGTGGAAAAAATTTATGGAAACCGAGACTTGCACATAAAATGATCATGTATTTCTTTGAGCAATTTTGAACTCAATAATCCGATGAGATCTAAATTGGTAGAGTTTGGAATGCCCCTTGGACCATCTTTTCTTGCAATGTCTGGTGACGAGATCATCGTGGTTCAATCGACTATTGTTAAATGTTAGAATTAAAGTTTAAATTATTCAATTCTAAGGCCTTTTCTACCAATAAAACAAACAAAATTCGGCCACAAAGTGAATTTCTAGCTAATTATGAGCATAGATAACTTTAAAAAAACACAAAATTGCATAACCACTAAGGTTTCAGTGCTGGACAATCCAGTGAGAAAGAAGACCAACAATGCAGAGGGGCTACTTAACGATGCAACATTTCATTGGAATTCAAAGGTTCACCATGATCAAAGTTATCACGCCCTACATTGTTTCTCAAAACTAAATTAAAACGATTCACAGACACACTTGTTATACCAACACGAAAATTGATAAACAAAACCTCCAATAACAGCTCTCCTGAAAGTTATCAGATGGCAACTGCAATCCTTCCGGCTACATGGTCCAGATCACGCTGTCCATTTGACGTGATTCTCCTTCCACTGATACACCAAATAAAGTTCAGTTTCGCGTTAGCAATTAACAAAATAAGTTTACAAACAATATAACAGACACGGTTACAAACCACCATTCTATTTACATAGTTTATAGTTTTACCTAAGAAACCAATATAAAGTTTCTTAAACATATTAGGGTTTTTGTGCACGATAAAAGTTATCTTTGGATAAATTTATATAAATATATTTGTTCCCCACTAAGAAAAGGGTATATGATTCAAATGACTGACTCAATAACAATCAAACTACTGCAACAAAAAAAAAAACAATGGCACTTAAGAAAACTCACCCTTTAGGATCGATATCAATGATGTTCACATCCCGCAATTGCTGAAGAATGTGACGGGAAACCGATCCACTGCTCTTGCAGAAATGTCGCGGGCAACTTCCATTTCTCTTAGACCCTCCATAAATCCTCCTAAAGGCACCGACACCAAGACCTCCCCTCAAGTATATCTTCCTTGCTATGGAAGCTACAAAGTAAAAGCAAATGGCAATGATAATAGCATAAATATGGATACAAAACTAAATTAGAGTTGGCTGATAAAGATAATTTATAAATGTACATACCAGCTCTGATATAGTACCAATCAGGGTAATAGGGAGGAAGCGCCCTGGGCTTACCAGTCTTGACAATATCAGTCCACGGGGAAGCTCGATCTTTTCAGTTTAAGACCAAAGAAAGTCGGATTAGAAAAAAAAAAGACTTTAATTTGAAGGAAGAACAAGCATAGATCCATTACAAACCCTAAAATCAAAAATTAAGAAGCGAACCTAACTACATCTCTGAGAAATTAAATGAAACGGAGAAGAAGGTGAAAGGAAAATACCTTGCCGGAACGCGCTTGAGATGGGCGGCGTAAGCCTTGACGAAGTCATGAGGGGAAACGTCCTTAACTGTTCTGGCTGCCTCCATTTTCTGTGTATTTGTCTGTCTGCTTCGGCAGAGATCGCTCCTTCGATGTATCCAAATACGCTTGGAGCGGCCCTAGAGGAGAGAAGGCAATATATAAGATTTGAAGGGAGCTAGGGTTTTGTGCTTCGTTTATACTACGTCCTTATTTCATTTCAGGAACTAATCCGTTCTAAAATTAAGCTTAATACAATTTTAGGTAACTAAATTATATCTTAAATTAATTTTTAGTGTTTAAAGAATTTTTAGTTAAATATAAATATATAATATTTTTCTATTATACATTTAGATGTCTACCATTAAGTGACAAATATTACATCTAATTTCTTTTAAATAATATTTTATTTAAAATATATATATATATAAACGTAACACATTTCACTTAATAATTCTTTAACGATAGATACCTAAAAATGTAACGAAAAAAACATTAGACTCTTCTTTTTAACAAAAAATTCTTTAGTCACTGTAACACCTTAATTTTTAGTTAATTATAACATTCACGTGGTTGGTTTAGAATTAGGTTGAATGTGGACAAATTGTTGGGTGATATGAGAATTTTATTATTTTTTATATATTATTATTTTATTTAGATTTCCATGAACCATACAATTGAGATATTTTGAAAGTCTCTCTTTTATATAATATATATACGTAATGGATGAAATCATTTGGAAGGACAAAATACAAACCCAAACTTATCCTTATCTTCACACGTTCTCATGCTTCATTGTTCTCTACTAGCTCTGTTGAACCATGGAAAGTTCTCAACCAGTCTAGGTCCAAGCTCCGACATCATGTTGCAGTTGTGTAAGTTCCGATTGGCTTAGAAGAAAACTTTAAGGGTATTGTCGACCTTGTTCAGAAAAAAAAACTTACTATTTTCAAGGTTTCATCGGAGAAAATGTTGTTGGTAAAGAAGTGCCGGAAGATGAAGCGGTCGCAGCACCGATTAAGTTCACTTTTAATTATTCGTTAGTCGATGTTGCTTTTCGGATCTTACTATTTGTAGCAGCTTTAAGTTCTGTGGTGGTCATAGTTACCAGCAAGCAAACCGAGGGGTTCAAACTACAGAGGAAGAAGATGGAGCAGTTAACGATGGCTCTACTATGGTTACTACTACTGCCCCGTTAAAACCAAGAAAGAAAAGGCAGTTTGCCTTTTTTAAGAGAGACAGAATGAGATCCAAGAGATTCTTGGAAATTCAAAAATTAAGGGAAAACAAAAAGGAATATCATATGAAGACAAAGGGAAAATGGGGTTATGATTCCAACATGAAAATTCACGTGGGTGTTGTTTAGGAAAATAAAGGGGTAAACCATAAGGTATGTCGTCCAAGTTTGGTGAGATCTTTACTTTGTCTCTTAATTTCCAAGTGTTTATAGTTATGACATAATTGTTTTTACAAGATCAATTTAGTCCATGATGTTAGTAATTAAATATTACTAGCTCTTCAAGTTTTTAGTTATGCAAATTGGATTTCCAAATTATTAATTAGATTCTAATAAGTTATTTTTTATGGAAAGGAAAATTATTGGAAGTCGTATTTGTATGATAAATTATCCGTGTTCGTTAGAAAAAGATTGGAAGCTAGAAATCAAGTTGGTGAGCTGGAATTTAAGACTAATATTTTGGGTTTTGTTGATGTTCCGATTTTGAGGTTCGTTTTGCCAAATTCAAATCCGGTAAGCTGTTTTTCACTGATTAATCACCTAATTCGATCCGTTTTTCAGAATTAAGTTACGTTTTTGATAAATTTCTATTAATATGTATCTGAGGAATTATTGGAAGTCGATTTCAAGATCGAGGGCGTTCGAATTTAATTTAAATGGTCGAGCAATATGGCAAGGAAATCGAGGTAATACTTTACTACCTCTTTATGCTTTATGGAACATGTTGATATTGGTAAATGCATGAATAAGATAATGTTGGTCACTTTTGTGGAGTTGAATAATTTATTCACTCGATATGAATGTGGTAGAAATTCTGTAACTGAATACGGATCGAATGACTAAGATAAGAGATTGATAATTGTTAGAATTAAATTACAAGTTTGTGATTGGTGATAAAGAAATCAGCTCTGGATTTGTAACTTATATTTTATATCATCAAGGGTTAAATGTTAAAGATACTTGGATGAAAAATTATGAGAATACTCCGATATGGTAAAATTATGAAATTACCCTTATGTTGGAAAATGATAAGAATTGCCACTGGAAGTTGGTTAATAACTCTGAAAAGACATATTGATCCGATATAACTACTGATGTGCATAAGAAATGTTAGTTTTATTTGGAAATTATGGATAACCGGTTTTTAATCCTATGAGAGTTTGTGAAGGAATCATTTCAAAATCAAAGAATGTTCGGGAAAGCAATTGATCATAGGATCTCTAAATTATAATTATTTTCGTTAAGAGCTAATATTGAAATTATCTGGTTAAGAAATTACGAAAATGCCCTTGAGAGATAAAATAGTCTAAATTGACCCTGAATGAGAGAGTACTTTGAGGATTTGTACTTAACTCGATTAAGTACGAATTTAATTGTTAAGATCCTGCCTTTGTACAGAAAAATTTATAATATTCCGTTTGTAAAATCTTAGAAGACACTTGACCCGAAAATATTCGAATAAGGAGTAAATACTTGAAGAGTAATTTATCGGAGGTATTTTTGCTGACAGAATTGTTCGACAGGACTGAAGTAAATGATAAGATTGAATTAAATAATAAGACCGGATGGAAGGAAATGATTGAAATATTCTAGAATTATAAAATGACCAAATTACCCCTGGAATGGAAATGACTCAAGAATGTCACCAAGCTCAGGAATGAATGGATATACTCAAGCTTTGAAATGAATAGAAAAAAATGTTAAGCACCAAAATAACCAAAATGCCCTTATGACCTAGAATAAGTAAATGCCTTGGATTAATTAAGAAATCCAAATAAACATGGATGTTGTGCTACCAGTAAAAGTTGTGGAACGCAACTTAAGTGATTAACCAACGCTAGTACTATATCATTACCTGAATGATATAAGTATCACTTGAATGTTTGTTCATCTTCTCAAATTTGGATCGATGATAATTCTGGAAGTACTTGGCGCAGCTCAACTCTAGAGCGCATACAGTACTAATAAGTGGGTAGTAGTTAGTCAAATCAACCACGAATACCAGAATGACTTTATTATATGAATAAATTGAAATGAAATGAAGTACAACGTGTATTTGAAATTCAGAAACGTCTGAATTATTCTGGAAAACTTTAAAGTAATCGGGATAGACTTGCTTACCAAACGAACTAAGTAACATCAATGACTAAGGATTAAATAAAGTGATTTGATGAGTTTGGAAACACTGTTGAACTTACATGATGAATTGTCATTATGGGTTATGAGCCATGGATCAAGTACGTCAGTATTTCCTGATATTGTTGAAACGTGGAAATGAAATAAAGACCGTTGGAAGATTTATTCAGTGATGATTATGGGGATGATCTATGGATCTGCACTATGGTATTAAAGAGTGAATACACTGGAAGGATAATGAATTGACTTGTTGACATTCATCAGTTTGAGAGTTGTGTAACTCGAGTTGTTTGATAATATGATCGATAGTCGTAGATTGTAAATGACTTGAATCTTCGATTTTATATTTCATCTAAAATCACTTCGGTCATGTTTGAAAAAAAAACAAGTAACGCAGATGGAAAAGATTCTAAAATATCTCATTTGGTTCAATTGGGCTAAAATCCTATGAATTTAAAGTATATTTCTGAATACCCCTGATTGTTTGGGTAATGGAATCACTCGTAGTAAATCTGAATTTAGAATTATTATGTATAAAGGTTCCTGAACGTTTTCCTAAAGCACACGAAAATATAGTGGGATTCTAATATATCAACATTAAATGTCTGGCTAGATCGGTTAGTAATCGATTCTCCTCAATAGAACCTTGTTCCAGGAATTCGTTCAAATTTCATAAGTTTCATGTTATCCAAAATGATAACTACAATGGCCTCTGGAAATACTTGGATTCTCTAGTGTGTTCCCTACTTATTATTGAACTGTTTTATTGGTTTTAATATGTGGTACACCGAATTCATTGGTTATTGTTTTATGGATGCACCAATTTAATGTGACAATTTATGGAATATGGCTGCTATCTAATTTTTGTTTTGAAATGGTATATGATTACCATGTTTTTGGATTTATGGAATTTATGTCACGGTGCAATTGAATTTTGGAATTCAATTACGATGGAATAGCTCTGATCAAGCTAAATGGGCCTAATGTGACTCTTGAGGGCCCCAAGATGTTTCATTAGGTCGGTTTTCCTTTGTTGTGTGCTTAGGGTAAGCTATATGGACTTATTGACTTGGGCTTAAGGATACAAGCTTCATAGCCTATCCTTAAGTCGGCTTTCTTTTTGCTATGTGCATAAAGTAAGTTATATGGAAAATAATTTTGGGAACTACTGATGGTGTACCAGAAAAGGGTTTAAACTATGATTTTCAAAAGTTAAACTCTTTTACGAAATTGTGAGATTTACTGGACTATGATTTGTACCTATTATGATTTTATTATACTGTTGGAACACACTAGACATCCTATTCGATCTCCTGAAAATGTCATACTTTGAAAGGTTTCTTATGAACTGAGATTCATGGCTTCTACTCGATGAACTTCTAAGGGAACCCCAAATTATTCTGCAAGCTGGTATACGTATGATTCAATAAGGAAATTATATGGCTTTTCATTTATCTACATGTCATGTAGCATCATCTGGTAGTTCTGTATTACTGAGCTTTCCAAAGCTCACTCTATTACTCACCTTTTCAGGTTAAAACAATTGTACCAGTGCATCTATCGACTTCAGTAAGGGAGTTCTTCCGGCGTGGTTGCAGAGTATGATACTTGTGATTAGGGGGCATGTAATTGTATTTTGATTTATATACGAGTTTGGAAATCTGTTTTATTTTTAAATAGTGATAAATGATTTTATAAGTTTACATGTTCTGATAAAAAATTTTAAAATTTCCGCTATTTTTACGGTGGGTCGCTCCGGTGACCCTAAAGTGACAACCCAGATCGGATCGGGTTATCCGCATCGGTCTGGGGGTTACAGTCACCAAAATGTATTAAGTTTTAAAATTAATAAAATTAAATTTTATCACATTTTTAGAATATTTTAATTTTAAAATTAGTGATATTAAATTTTATCTCCAGTTCTAATGGTTTAATTACTTACTTTTAATTTTTTTTTAGAAAATGTTAATTTTAACTTTAAGTAACTCGTTTTTAGAATTTTTACCATAATTTATTTTACATAATTAATTTTTATAAAAAAATGTATCTAAACGTTACTTCATTGAAAGTTATATTCTCTCAATTTTTTTCAACAATAAAATTTAAATAAAAAATTATTTTTTTGGCCGTATTGACAACTTTGGTTGGACATAAGTACTTTTTTACTTGAATCTATACTCATTTGTTTAATTTGAAGTTTAAATTTGAACTATTTTTTTATTTATATTATAAGAAATTATTTTAAAACATATGTAATAATTAATTTTTTTCTTGTATTAATATCTATACAATCAAACATAACACTAATAACAAAAATTAAAACGAGGCACGAAACAAATCAAAAGCATCCGAACTCTTAAAGGAAGATTATGCTTAAAAATATTTGAACTCATCTAATTAATAAAATAGGAAAAATTCTACTGCACACGTCCCACACTACAACATACTACTAAAGTTACATGATGAAACGCATTAACTAAATTTTTCTTATTAAGTAAATATTAAAAGGATATATTACACGTTTTGTACCTAATTATTACTTTTGTTTAATTTTTAGTATTTAAACTTTATTTTCTGTTAAATCATTTACGATAATATTTATGTGACTTTACATGTCAATTTTTTTATTTTTTAATTACTACATCACCTTTTTTATTTGTGATTATTTTTAATTAATTTTATTCAACCAATTAGGTAGTGACACATGTCACCACCTATGAGATAAAAAGAGAGAAATCATTCTTGCTCTTAGTATGAATTGATCTTGAGTATCTTACATAGAAACAAATCAGTCAATCATTGAGCTAAACTAGTCATTTAGGTAAATTTCACCACATTTTGTATTTAACTTATATAACGTATCACCACAAAATCTATATTTTTCAATGATTATAAGATTTAAATATGTGACACTTTAAATTAATCACCGAAAGCTTAGTCGCTCGACTATAGTGTGAATTTTTTTATTATACTGAACTCAATACTTACTTATATCATTATTAAATTAAAAGGTAAATTTTCACTTTATTTAGAAATAAAAAAGTAATTAAATAATTTACATATTTTTATAAAAGTTATATGAAATAATTATTTAAAAAAGTATATTTATAATATTATAAAAATATTTATTTTTTAAATCCAATTAATTATTTATTTGAAATAATATTATTTTTTAATCCGAAGGTGTTAACATTTGTTAATTCAATGCATGAACTTAACGGCTGATTTTCATGTCAACATATAAATTGTTATGTAAAACATGGTGAAGTCGAAGAATCCAGGTGTCATGGTGTGCTGCAACGGAGTTCCATTTGGCCATCGCCACCCTCTTTCTCCTTCTTTAATCTTCACCCTTCAAAAATGGAAAAAGTGAAATTTTAGAAACCAACGCCGGTAACAATGGCATACCCTCCATCTTTCATTTGTTTTCTTGATTCCCCATTTTACCCTGCTTTTCTTTGTTTCAACCTTTACATTTTCTCAACCCTCCCGGAAACTAGCTTCCTCTGTTTTATGGTGCCATTTTATGATTTCCTTGTATTAACCTCCTTTCTTCTCGATATCTTCAGTATAATTCTTTCAGGTATCGTTCATCCTTGCTATTTCAATTTAATACGTTTTCTTCAATTATTCGTTTCATTGGAATCTGTTGATATCAATGATCATGTTTTATCTGTTGGATGTTTAACTGGAAATGATTTCTTTAGCTATGCTATTTCCTAAATTGTTTCTCGACGAAGAGTGTCACAGTTTGAAGGAAATGCATTTTCCATTGTCTACCGTCTGATATTTTATATAAATATTGGAGCATTAATCAAACCCGATTCTATTCTTATTGATAGATGGCAAGAAAGAATTGAGCATTCCTTTTAAGGATGAGTGTCAGTTTCAAATATTGGAATGACTGTGTTGATCCCGAGGACTTGGAAGCCATGTGGAACCACCCTGATGTGAGAACAGAGTGGGAAGATGCTGGAGAGACTAAAGGGTTAAGAGTTCACTTATCAAGGGATCCTGATGGACAGCCTTATTTGACACAAACAGAGATGAGGGTAGCTTACTTGAATGGCATATCAAGCCGCTATTAGTTTAATCTCAAGCTGTTACAATTTCTTTTGCTTGTTGCTCTTTCAGGCCGTGGCGGAAATAGTTACACGTAGACAATTCGACTCGCAGGTAGATCCGGTATGTCACCTATAACCCGAATTTGTTCTGGTGATGAGGTTATGTTTAATATTAGGTGTCTGAAATAATTGTTTGATTTTGATTTCACATCTACTCTCACCTTATATATTGAATGAACTAATCTTTAACAAAAGGAGGGGAAAGGGTAAAAAGTGCAAAACATTGCATAAAAAACATGTCCTGAGGATTGATAACATTTGAAGAATTACACCATGTTGTTCCAGGTAGAAATGTAGCCAAGGTGCAATTTAGTCTTAATTTAGCATAGCATAGTGATTGAAATCATTATATTTTCGGCCTCTGCTTATTCTTCTCTAGGTTATCATCGAGCAGTCCTGAAAACCGGAAATTTAAAATAGTAATGGAAAGCATTTGTTATTTTAGATTTTCTTCATGGCAAGGAAGTTTTAAGACACCTTAACAGCTAAAACCAGGAATTCCAGCTGATCGGCAATTGGAGATACTGATAGATTCTTTTGTGGCTGGCGGACCTGCTACAAATTCTTATGTTACTCCAACTCTTCATTTCTGTATGCTAATACCAGGAATTCCAACTGTTGTGCAGGAGATGATTTGTGCTATTGCAGAACTAGAAAGTGACAGACAGCCTCTTGCCGCACGATATGATAAGAAGAACAATCTGATTACAATAGGACTCATGCAAGTAGACCCTAAAGTAGCAGAGTGGATTGTCAGGTAGAATTATATGTTTTGTTTCTTACGGGTGCATTCTAACTAAGCCGACCCTAATAAAGTTGAAGTTTATTCTGGTAGGGAACAAGATTATTTACTATTTCCAGTCGATGAGGATCCAGATATTCTATACAGGCCTTTTGTAAATGTATTTTTTGGAGCATCTTACCTAAAATGGTTATCGAACTTTGAGGGCAAGTGAGTTAACAGTAATCACTTTGGATCCATCTCGACATTTTTTATCAGATCGTAGAATAATGTTGTATTTTTTTTCTCATCAATGTTGAATTTACAGAGTTAGGACTGAAGAGTTTGTCGTCAGAGCATATATAGGTGGTGGTGCAAGAAAAGCAAATCATAAATCAACCCTGCCTTGTTGGAAGGGTTATCTTCAAGTGAAAGAACATTTTCAATCAAGGTTTCTATACTCCCTCATACAATATCTCCATTAAGTTATGAAAATTTTCCTACAGTCGGTCAGGTATTTGATTTATACTTGATTATCGTATTGTTTGAAACATTATTGTGCAGAAAACATTTTGATGGTCCTTCGCATATCAAAGCACCAACTTCGCCAACTTCACCAGCTTCACCGTCTAAGGGTTTTTCTTTGCTCATTTACTTGTAGTTATTTGATTCTAATTTTAGTCATTATTTTCAGTCTATCTCTAATCAAATTTTATTCATCATATCTAACAATGCTGACTGTGAAGAAAGCTAAAGAATACCAAAAAGAAAACTTTTTTTTCCTGAAATAAAAGCAAGGCGAAGTGAAGCCACCTCTGTGTCTCTGTTTTACAAATTAAGTGTTAGTTCATCTCTATTTCTAGCTTAGATGATATGCCTGTTGTCCTTAATGGCGGATCTGCAGGTGATGACCTATATTGGGACATTAGAGTTTCCTCTGAAGACATGGAACAGATGTGGAATCATCCTGATGTCTTCAAGGAATGGACTAAATCTAAGGAAATTCGGGGAAATGTGCGCTTTTCCTGTGATAGAGAGAAGAGACCTTATCTTTCTCGAGTAGAACTCAGGGTATGAATCCACAGAAAACAAACATCCTGAAATAAATATTTTCTCTTTCTCCTTTACAGACATGTCAAGAGTGCAGGTAAATATCATTACCTTTCCGGTGTTAGATAAGTCATCGTTTTCGTGCCAAAGTGCATAAAATGCAGGATCTTAATGGTCAACAGTGTAAGCAATGAAAAGTACTTCGGCAATATATTAATGCGGACTGAAATAGAAGAAAAGAAAAAGGGAAAAAGTGGTTGCCTATTAAACTAGTTTTATAATTATTCCTCAACAGGTCCATATGCTTGTAACAGAATCATTTTGCAGTTCATCTTTCTAATTACCAAGCTAAAGTGTAGTTTTTAAAATTCTTGACATGGAGCTCCTATTGCAGGCAATTGCAGAAATAATTGTTTCCAAGTACTTCAGTACAAGGGGAATAAATCCTGTAAGTACATAATTGGATAAAGAATACATAAGAAATAGGAGAACTATACCAGGCAGTTAATTGTATATGTTTCTTGGACACTTTTAGCATGTACCATTTGTTTTTGGTTCAACCTTTTGAATACACTTCATATATTTGAGTGTCATAGATAAGGTTTCTAAGTTGTAGGAAGGTGAAGGAACTAACTTTTATCCCGACACTTATGTTTTGTACAGGCGGTACTTTGTGCTCTGGCCGATATTGTTAGCAATCGATTTATAGACGGGAATGAATCATCAACTGGACTAATGGGAATTGACTACTCCACTGCTTTCTGGCTTTACACGTGAGTGAAAATATGGCAAACTGAATTCCTTGCTATGAAGAAATGTGTGCAGAAGAACTTAAACTCATAGCATACCTCCTTTCTGCCTTTTCCAGCCTGAGGAAATTTAATTAAATTAGTTGCTTGTGTGACCTTGGGTTCAAATGACAGTTATTTCGTGCAACCTGGAGGCATTATGATGCCCATACCTAAACGTTACTATACGTTTACGACCTAAAACTGTGTTTTTTCGCACGATCATTGGCTTCTGAACGTAGAACTTAGATTGTTTCCTTATTTTACCTTTTCTTTAGCACTTCTTAATTTTATAGCGATGACCAAATATTTCTGAAACTCCTAACTTTTCTGTGAAGAGAGATGCGCTATAGGGCTTATCGAGTTGATTATGCTGAAGATCTGACAAATCCATTTGCGTCCATGTATTTTGGAGCTGCATATTTGGATTGGTTATCAGAGTATGAAGGAAGGTAGGTTAAACTCTATAAATACCATTTACTGTCTGCTTTGTTTCCACAGCCTAACAGAACCCGTGGCTTCTCTGATTATGGCAAAGCAGGGAAAGGAGTCTGCAATTCATCTTTGAGGCTTATGTTTATGGGCCAAAAAGTGTACATCTTGAAGAGACGTGTCCGAAGTGGCTTAAATTCGAGCAAATTTTGGCCCGTTATGAACGAACGATAAGGTATGTGCCATATCTTGTATGCATTTAATGAAATGCAGTCGTAACGTATGTTCCCTCGAGTGACGAATTATTGGTTTGCCTTCTTCAGCCGTCAAGGGAGCTGCAACATCATTTAACCTGTGATAGACATCATCCGATCACCAACTTTTTAGATGGTTGGACCGATCGATGCTGTTGCGATAAAAGATGGATTATTTTCATTCGTGAGTAAGCATTTTTTTTTTTGTTAATACTCTGTAAGGTATTTCAAAGGAAAAGAGGAGTCTTTTTTCATTTACCTGTATGTGTGTATTGCCTGTATCATGTACCAATAGAACAAATAACTAATAGAGCCTTGTTCATTTCAAAACATAGATTTGTTTTGAGACTTGAACCCAAGAGTATTAAATTCTTATGTAACCTTTTTCATTTCAAGAAGAAACTTTTTATACACAGACTGGATTATAAGTCTAATGATGATCAAACTCTATCTGTTACGAGTGTCTTTTGCCACAAGACGAGCTTTATGTCAAGCTAAGAGACTGAACGGAAGAACGAAAAGGAACATGTAATAATTGACAAAGAGCTAAAGGAGAGCATTCATTATCGAAACTGGTTGTGAGACATTGTTGTCTGAACCTTGAGTCTCAAAAAAAATACTGAAGCAGATTGAGAAAACATCGGAGGCTGAGAAAATATCAAAGGTTGAGTAACTGGTAGTGTAGATTCATTGTAACAGCAATGGTTAATAAAGGTGGTGGTGTTGTTTCAAGAAACACCATCAAATGACTGATCGAAATGATAGTAACATCTATTAACCAAATGTTCAGTTTTCTCGTACAACTGACATTGAAAGCGTATCGGCCTTCATAACCACGACCATCATTGAGCGAACTCAGTGGTAAAAGTGAGCGTTTTCATCCTACAGATCCCGAGTTTAAACAACTGAGTTTGTGTGTACCTTAACAATGGCTATAAACAACTGAGTTTGTGTGTACCTTAACAATGGCTAAAAACGATATTCCGTACTATTAAAAAAAACCCAAAGTACTATTTTATTAATGATCACGAGAATCGACGAAAATTGAATTTAAGAATGATTTGAATTTAGATTTTTAAATATTAATTATGCCTAGAAATGTTTGGTACTGCTTGGGAGTAACTTAAATAGAATCTTGCTGTCCATTTTATTGAAAGAAAAAGGCATCTAATCAACTAGCACCAATACACAACTTGAAAATAAGAAATTGAAGTGGTTGAGTGGTTGATTTGGAATGACTTAAATGCTAATATTTTATATACAAAAATTCCCGACAGTTCATCCATGCAAGAGAAAAGACTTGGATCTATCTAGTCGGAATAAAACTTGGTGATGGCTGAACCCCAGATTCCTACCGTTGATCTCTCACCGTTTTTCAGCCAAGATGAAGACGACGATGGCAAGAAGAAGGCCATGGAAATCATTACAAAAGCGTGTTCCGAGTACGGCTTCTTCCAAATCGTGAACCATGGTGTGCCCGTAGACTTGCTGCAACGTGCCCTGCAACTCTCCAGCATTTTCTTCGACTATCCGTCCCAAGAGAGACTGAAAATCCGTGCACCGCCTAATGCGCCTCTCCCTGTCGGATACAACATTCAGCCCCAACAATCGCCCGAAAAGAACGAGTATCTTTGGATGTTCCCACCCGGATCTAGCTTCAATGTTTTCCCTCAAAACCCACCTTCAAGTATGTTTTAATCTTATTATTTAACAGAGATGACGAATAAAATATTATATCTCATGAGACTTGATTCACTGCGTTTAGCAGACCAGTGCTGGAAGATGTATTCTCCAAATTGACGAAAACGGCTGCAGTTGTGGAGGGCATCGTGAATCAGTGCTTGGGTCTCCCCACAAACTTCCTCAGAGAATTCAACCATGACAGGAACTGGGATTTCATGGTGGCTCTCCGCTACTTCCCTGCCACCGAATCGGAGAACAATGGCATAACACAGCACGAAGATGGAAATTGCTTGACCTTGTTGTTCCAGGACGGTACAGGTGGTCTACAGGTCCGCAAGGACGGGGAATGGATCCCTGTTATCCCCGCAAAACACACATTAGTAGTCAACTTAGGCGATGTTATTCAGGTATTGAACAACAATAAATTCAAGAGCGCCACTCACAGGGTGGTGAGGCCTAAAGAAAGAAGCCGATACTCATTTGCATTCTTCCATAATTTGAAGGGAGACAAATGGGTTGAACCATTGCCGCACTTCACCAAAGACATTGGAAAACCACCCAAATACAGAGGTTTTAGATATAGTGAATACCAGCAATTGAGGGTGAGGAACAAGACGCATCCTCCAAGTAGGCCTGAAGATCAAATCGGAATCACCCATTATGAAATTACTTCTTAAATGGATCATCATCATCAATGTGTTATCCATCTTCGTTTCTGTAATCGTTTTCAATTTGCGATGCTTGGGCAATAAAAAAACTTGAACAAGTTGAAAGTCGCGATCCCAGATTCCCAGCGTTTCCATCGTGATAGGAACTATGCCACTCGAAAAAGTTGAGGATGCAATATCAGAGCCAGGTTTCGATCCTGGGACCTGTGGGTTATGGGCCCACCACGCTTCCGCTGCGCCACTCTGATGTGCCGCTGTGTTATTGAAACCTTTTATTTATGTTTTAATAACACATAAGGCATAGACAGACAAGCTCTACATAGACGTATCACGCACACAGACGAGTCATACCCGATTCGAGATTTTAACATTCGAGCAACTAAAATGTTTCGAGTGACCAAATCGATAGTACCCTAAAATTGTGGCTACTGTTAGGTAATTTATCCAAATAGATAAACTAAAAACAAATAGCTCTTGCTGATATATATTCTTATTGCTAAACTATTGGTCTATGCTAATTTCATTTATTAATCGATGTGCAAAATATGAGTTATCGTTTGGGGTGTGATTGAGATAAGTGGAATTCAATCGGAAAGAGGTTTGAATTTGACTTGAAATTGGAGAGTAAAAGTTTGATCGGAGTTTGTTGGATTAAATTCAATTTGATCGGTTGGTCAAGTTATTCATATTTGTTTTTTATATTCCCTTAGATTATTTGACATTATACGCTCTCATCCCAAATATTTCCAGTGCTCAAATCCCAAACGAACAATGATAAGTCTTTTATCACTGAGATAGTTTGATTTGTGTTTAAATCATATTTTTAAATATTAACTAAATCCAGAAATGTTGGGTACTGCCTGGGAGTTACTTAAATAAGCATTAAAAAAGAGAATAGAATTCCTCTGCCCTCTTAATGCCTCTTTTGGTGCCCTACCAGTAAAAAGTTGAGACATGTGTTAATTTATTAAGGCTTAATATAAAAATAAGTATATGAATTATATTTCGAAAAACGTTTTAGTGCTCAAAATTTTTTTCGTTAAAAATAAATGTTTAACGTTTTCTTCGTTACCATTTTAGGTATCTGGACGTTAACTGTCGTTAAGTGACACGTGTCATGTTCTTATATTTTTATTTTTTAAAAAATATTTTTTATTAAAAATTAAACAAAAAAACCCTTCTCCCTCCCCACTTTTCTTCTCCCCCTCCCCTACAACGGCCAACTGCCAAGGCTAACCAAATGGCAAATGATCGACCACCACATCCGATCAAATGGTCGATTACTACGATTGATTTAAGAGATTTTTATGGTTAAGTAACACGTGTCATGTTCTTATATTTATTAGGGTTCAGTCAATTAACATTGGTGGCGATCGGTGATGGCAAAGGGATTAAAATGAAGTTCTTAAAAGTTTTGGGATTTTTAAGATTTGAAAAAAAATTTAATATATTTTTTATTTTAAATAAAAATTCTCAAAATTCTCATAACGTTACACGTAACACTTAACGGTGATTTTTAACGGTAATTAACATCAGACACCTAAATATGTAATGAAGAAAACGTTAGACACCTAAAATAGTAACGGAGAAAACGTTAGACACATATTTTTAATAAAAAAATCTTTAAACACTAAAACATTTTTTTGAGACATAGTTCAAACACTTATTTTATATTAAACCATTTATTAATTCCCTTAATATAAATCTCTATTAATTCATCTACCATTTAAGTCACCCATTAACTATTTAAAAAAAAAGGGAAGGGACCTCTTCAATCGATAATTGCTTTATGGTTGTCTCAACTTTACTTGTCTTTTCTCCGTCATCCATAGTAATATTAAATGATTGTTCATTCATTATATATCGTGTCCCTAAATGAGAATATTAAAAATAATTAATAAATTAATATAAATGTCAACTTTTTACTAGTGGGACGTCAAAAGGAGCAATGAGAGGGAAAGGGGGAATTCTATTAAAGAAAAGGACTTGAATTTAGTGCCATCGCCATACATCCACTTCGGCAAGAGATTGTCTCTTTCTTTTGTATTTATATATAACGAAGGCATGAAAAAGAATCCTGCTATTCATTTTGTTAAAGAAGGTATCCAATCAATTAGCAACAAGACACATGAAGTGGGTGGGCGGTCGATTTTGGAATGACTTGAATGATAATATTTTATATACAAAACACACCGACAGTTCCTCCATGCAAAAGAAAATACTTGAATCAATCTGAATAACAGTTGGTTATGGCTGATCCCCAGATTCCCACCGTTGATCTTTCACCATTTTTCAGCCAAGATGATGAGGATGGCAAGAAGAAGGCCATGGAAATCATTACAGAAGCTTGCTCCGAGCACGGCTTCTTCCAAATCGTGAACCATGGTGTGCCCGTAGACTTGCTGAAACGTGCCCTCCAACTCTCCAGCATTTTCTTCGACTATCCGTCCCAAGAGAAACTGAAAAGCAGTGCCCCGTCGAATGCGCCTATCCGTACCGGATACAACACTCAGCCTCCACAATCGCCCGACAAGAATGAGTATCTTTTGATTTTTCCGCCGGGATCTAGCTTCAACGTTTTCCCTCAAAACCCTCCTCAATTCAAGTATGTTTTTCTATATTTATGGGATTAAAACACAACATGTTCCATCAACTTGACAAATTTGATCATTGAACTTAATAAGTGTGATCAAACGTATCCTTAGATTTGATCAAATAATAACCCTTCAACTTTTTAAGATAGATGAATCTTACATCTCATTAGATTTGATTCACTTTGTTTGGTAGACAAGTGCTGCAAGATGTTTACTCGAAGTTGACAAAAACCGCCGTAGTTGTGGAGGGCATCGTGAATCAGTGCTTGGATCTCCCTACAAACTTGCTCAAAGAATTCAACCATGACCGGAGCTGGGATTTCATGGTGGCTCTCCGTTACTTCCCCGCCACCGAATTGGAGAACAATGGATTAACACAACACGAAGATGGAAATTGCTTGAGCTTCGTGTTCCAGGACGATGCAGGTGGTCTACAAGTTCGCAAGGATGGGGATGTTGTGAAATTCGGGTTAATTTCCACCAATAACAGATTCACCGTGAAAACTATTATCTAGGTGACTAGTGTGAAAACGATTGTACTAAAAATCACCCCAAGGTAGATTCCCAGGAAAGAGGAGGGGTCACAATGGTCCCTCTTAAAACCCACTTTCCTTAGACAAAATATTTCACTAATAGAGGAAATATTACAAAGAGAGAAAGAATACAAATAGCCTTTAAAATAGAAGAAGACTTATATTTGTGGGATGATTAACTAAGGAGGAGGAGGGCTTTATTTATAACAAAAGAATTTTCCCTCCTCCTTATACACAACCAATGTGGGACTTTTGCCAAAAATCAACAAATCTCCACCTTGGCAAATTCCACGCACATCTCTAAAAAAACAATCTTTTAATTTGTAACAATATTGACCAAATCTAAACAATGTTTAAACTTGACCGCAGTTACCACTTTTGTCAACATATCAGCAGGATTCTCAGTGGTCCGAATCTTCTGGATTATGACTCCACCTTCTTCTAGAATCTCTCGTACAAAGTGATATCGAACATCAATGTGCTTCGTCCTTGCATGGTAAACCTGGTTTTTTGCTAAATGAATAGCACTCTGACTGTCACAGTGCACTTTGATGTGCTTTTGTTCCATTCCCAATTCACCAAGCAACCCTTGAAGCCAAATTGCCTCCTTCACAGCCTCTGTAACTGCCATATACTCTGCCTCTGTAGTAGACAAAGCCACTGTTGACTGTAAGGTGGACTTCCAACTGACTGGTGCCTTTGCAAATGTAAACACATAACCAGTAGTTGATCGACGCTTGTCCAAATCACCTGCATAGTCTGAATCACAATACCCAACTACACACTGACCATCTTGTTTGTCCTGCTGAAAGACCAAACCAACATCTACGGTGTTCAGAATATACCGCAGAATCCATTTCACAGCTTGCCAATGCTCCTTTCCAGGATCATGCATATACCTGCTCACAACCCCAATTGCCTGTGAAATATTGGGTCTCGTACACACCATTGCATACATCAAGCTACCAACAGCACTTGCATACGGAACCTTTGACATGTATTCCCGTTCTGCATCATCCTTAGGTGACATAGATGCACCGAGCTTGAAATGAGGAGCAAGAGGTGTACTAACTGGTTTTGACATCTCATTTATGCCAAAACGTTTTAGTACCTTCCTCAGATATTCTTTTTGAGACAAACAAAGCCTCCCCAATTTCTTATCCCTTGATATCTTCATGCCTAGAATCTTCTTCGCTTCACCAAGATCCTTCATCTCAAACTCCCTGTTCAATTGAGTCTTTAGTTTCGCAATTTCTGTCTGACTCCTGGAAGCTATCAGCATATCATCAACATAAAGAAGAAGATATATATAGGATCCGTCTTCTAGCTCGCGTAAATACACACAATGATCATATTTTCTTCTTGTGTACTTCTGCCCTATCATAAACTTGTCAAATCGCTTGTACCACTGCCTTGGAGATTGCTTCAATCCGTACATCGATTTTTCTAATTTGCACACCATCTCTTCTTTTTCAGCAACTTTGAATCCATATGGCTGAGTCATGTAGATTTCCTCATCCAAGTCTCCATGTAAAAATGCAGTTTTTACATCCATCTGAACTAGTTCCAAATCCAACTGCGCTACCAAAGCCAACAAAATTCTGATGGAGGAATGTTTTACAACTGGAGAAAATACTTCATTATAATCAACTCCCTCCGTTTGAGCGTAGCCTTTAGCCACCAATCTTGCTTTGTAGCGGATCTTATTCTTGTCAGGAAATCCATCTTTCTTTGCATATACCCACTTGCACCCAATTGCCTTCTTTCCCTTCGGAAGACTAGCTAGTTTCCACGTCTGATTCTTTTGAAGGGATTGCATTTCTTCATTCATGGCAATCCTCCACTTTTTATGTTCTGAACTTTGAACTGCTTCATTAAAAGTGGCAGGAACGTCATCAATTGCAATTGGTGATGCAAAAGAGACCATATCAGCATAACGAGCAGGTTGTCTAATGGTCCTCTTTCCCTTTCTGAGTGCAATTGATTCATGTTGCTGTGGAGGTTCTTGGGTCTGAACCTCTTCTTCATCTGACTCTTCTTCTACCATAGGAGAGTCAACATCATTTTCTTTACTGGTTGGGACAAATTTGCTTCCTTCAAACTCCACCTTTTTGGGAGTTCCATCTGTCTGCTCCAATTTTTCTGAAGTCACCTTTCTCAACATGGTAGATTCATCAAAGGTAACATCCCTGCTGAAGATTATTTTCTTTGTTTCTGGACACCAAAGACGATAGCCTTTCACACCAGAGGTGATCCCCATAAAAATCGCCTTCTTTGCTCTTGGATCCAGCTTTGACTCCTTAACATGGTAGTATGCAGTGGAACCAAACACATGTAAGGAATCATAATCTGTAGCAGGTACTCCAAACCATTTCTCTAATGGTGTTTTACCACCAATAGCAGTCGATGGTAAGCGGTTGACAAGGTGACAAGCATAGACCAAAGCCTCAGCCCAAAATTCTTTGCCTAACCCAGCATTAGACAACATACACCGAACATTCTCCACTAATGTCCGGTTCATACGCTCTGCCACTCCATTCTGTTGTGGTGTACCTCTGACAGTGAAGTGCCTAACAATACCTTCCTCTTCACAGACTTTCAGAAATGGATCATTTTTGTACTCTCCACCATTGTCTGTACGGAGACGTTTGATTTTTCTGCCTGTTTGAGTCTCCATCATCTTTTTCCATTTAAGGAAAAATCCTAGCACCTCATCCTTTGTCTTCATTGGATACACCCAAACTCTCCGGGAAAAATCATCAACAAAGGTGACATAATAGTGTGTTCCTCCCAATGAAGTTGTCTTGGAAGGCCCCCATACATCTGAATGAACATAATCCAAAATACCTTTAGTATCATGGATTGCTGTTCCAAATTTCACCCTCGTTTTCTTCCCTTTGATGCAATGCTCACAAAAAACTAATTTGCAAGCCCGAGCACCCTTCAATAATCCTTGATCTATCAGTAATTTCAAGGATTTTTCACCAACATGCCCCAAGCGCATATGCCATAACCTGGTTGCTTCTGACTCCTGTTCATCAGTAGAAGCTGCCACTGCTGCTGTCCCAACAATTGTACTACCCAGAAAGTAATACACATTGTTTCTTTTTCGGATTCCCTTCATTATCACCAGTGCACCAGAGATAATCCTCATAATCCCATCTTTTGCCCTCACTTCTAAACCTTTTGACTCTAAGGTTCCCACAGAGATGAGATTTCTCATTAAATCTGGTACATAATGGACACCTGTTAAGGTTCTGATTGATCCATCCTGATTCCTCAAGCGAATTGAACCAATCCCAAGTGTGTCAAGAGGGGAATTATTTGCTGTGTAGACAATTCCACCTTTTAGTTCTTTAAAATCAAAGAACCATTCTCTATTGGGGGTCATATGGCGGCTACAAGCTGAATCTAACAGCCATGAACTGGAACAGCTGGTTGATGGCGTAGCAGCGAATGCGAAATCTGAATCTCCATCATCATACTCGACCACATTTGATTCTGAGACGGCCTTCCCCCTTTCAGGTTTGCCTTTATTCTTTAGCCTGTGACATTCTTTCTTCCAGTGCCCTTTTTCTCGACAAAAGGCACATTCATCTTTGCTCAATCTGGACTTTGACTTCGATCTCCCTCTGCTTCCTTTATTCTGACTCTTGGAACGGCCTCTAACAACAAGAGCTTCTGCTTCGACACTTGTGTTTTCTTGTTTGTCTTTCTTTCTCAATTCATAACTATACAAGGCAGCAGTTACTTCACTGAGAGACACATCAACCTTCCCATGAAGTAGAGTAGTTTCAAGATACTCAAACTCATCAGGAAGTGATCCCATCAACATCAGAGCCAGATCTTCGTCTTCAAAAGTCACGTCCATATTCATCAGATCAGTCACCAGCTGATTAAAGCTAGTAATGTGATCATTCATAGTGGTACCTGGTACATAGTTGAAGCGGAACAGTCTCTTTTTCATGTAGAGTTTGTTCTGACCGCTTTTCTTCAAAAATTTCTCCTCCAGTGCCTTCCACAATTTACTTGCAGAAGTTTCCTTAGAAAATGCATACTTCTGCTCTCTAGAAAGACACGATCGAATAGTACCACATGTCATTCTATTGATCCTCTTCCATTCTTTCTCCTCAACATCATCTGGTTTCTCTCCTTCAATAGCAATGTCTAGACCCTGCTGAAATAGGGCATCTAGAACCTCGCTTTGCCACATGCCGAAATGACCGGTGCCATCAAAAATCTCCACTGCAAATCTAACATTTGTCACAGCATTTCTTGCCAAAATTGAAGATGAAGAAGCGTCTATCATTTCTGCTACAAATTCTATTTAATAGCTGCCAATGCAGAATGTCAATTATCCCAAGGAAATTTTTCTGATGTGGAAGATCAGCCTAAGCCGCAACCACAGAGCATACTAAAATAAACCAAGAGCTCTGATACCAATTGTTGTGAAATTCGGGTTAATTTCCACCAATAACAGATTCACCGTGAAAACTATTATCTAGGTGACTAGTGTGAAAACGATTGTACTAAAAATCACCCCAAGGTAGATTCCCAGGAAAGAGGAGGGGTCACAATGGTCTCTCTTAAAACCCACTTTCCTTAGACAGAACTACCAAGACAAGTAATTTTAATAGGACAATAATTGACAACAACTATACCCGACAATAGCTATTAAATAGACATAAAAGAGAACACCAAAATATTTCACTAATAGAGGAAATATTACAAAGAGAGAAATAATACAAATAGCCTTTAAAATAGAAGAAGGCTTATATTTTTGGGATGATTAACTAAGGAGGAGGAGGCCTTTATTTATAACAAAAGAATTTTCCCTCCTCCTTATACACAACCAATGTGGGACTTTTGCCAAAAACCAACAGGGGAATGGATCCCTGTTATCCCTACAAAAGGCACATTAGTAGTCAACTTAGGCGATGTTATACAGGTATTGAGCAACAATAAATTCAAGAGCGCTACTCACAGAGTGGTGAGGCCAAAAGGCAGAAGTCGATACTCTTTTGCCTTCTTCCACAACTTGCAGGGAGACAAATGGGTTGAACCATTGCCGCACTTCACCAAAGACATCGGCAAACCACCCAAATACAGAGGTTTTCGATTTAGTGAGTACCAGCAACTAAGGGTTAGGAACAAGACTCATCCTCCAAGTAGGCCTGAAGATCAAATCGGAATCACCCATTATGAAATTATTTCTTAAATGGAACATCATCATTAATGTGTTATCCATATTCGTTTCTGTAATCGTTTTCAATTTGCAACAGTTGGGCAATAAAAAAAACTTGAAAAGGTTGCAAGCCGAGAGGCTTGTAGTGATCCTAGATTCCCAGTGTGTTTGCAGAACTTTCCATCGTGCTAGGAAGTAGGAACCATGCCACTCAGTGGGCAATAAAAATTAATATTTTTTATTTAAATCATTTTTAATATTTTGAAAATTTTCAATCATCCTTCACCATGAATCTTCAAAAAGCCTGCTCCTTTTCATCGATGATTTAACTTGCAATCTTTTCTATAATATTTTTTTACTTGTGGTATAATAATTTCAATCTTGTTTGTAAAGTTTTGAATTTATTCCTTAAACCATAGCACGAATTTATTAGGTTGAGATACTTAAAATTCGCAATACGAACTTAGGGACAGTTGCCTAAGTAGAATTAAGTTACTACATAACATAACTAGATAACAAGCATGAATACACAACTTCCAAACGTGGAAAAAGAAAAAAGAGCACACTTTTAGCAGTGCCATTGGTACCTATTTTCACTTCCAACTGTTTTTGAATGTGGAATGCATTTTATTCTTGCAAAATGCAAAAACAGGAGACGTATTTGAATTAAACATTGAGCACCCAGAACCATGTTTGCAGAGCATGATTGAACAAAAGATGTCAACCTTTGCCAGCACTTGAATCAATTACTAGAGCAATCTCCTTCAGCTTTACAGCATAATCGACACAAACCTGATACCAAGAAAACTTTGTAAATGGTTTCCCTCAGTTTTAGTGACTAGCAAGGCCGGGAAGCTGATGGAGAGAACAACTTTCAAATGTTTCCTTTAATATGATGACCATGGTTAAATTAAAAAAACAACTACAACACAAATCATACAACTTGAAGACAATGAACCTTTGGTTTTACATGACCATTGAATTTGTAAACGCATAGGATCTTCAAGTTAGGTTTTCTTTTTCTCCAAAAATAAGTCCACCTGGTAAAACTTGAGTGCATAGAGAAAATATGGTTTTAGAACAAAAACTGATTGTAAGGAAATCCTTTGATTTTCTTTTTTTGACTATGGCTTTCTTGGCTACCGTTGACCACTTGGCTGGAACAAACATGGAGAAGATAATCTATTCGTAACTTGTATCGCCTTTTTTTCCCTATATGAAAAAGCAAAGGTGGAATGTAAGATTCTGACTAGTGTTGCGGAATCAAGGTGCCATCCAAGCACTAGAATATGTTTTAGTGTGTGCCTTTTTATGTACGTGCCTAATGTGTACACACATATATATGCCTAATATATATATATATATATATATATATATTAGTATATTTATATTTATAAAAGCTTGACATATATAAGATGAAAATCAACTCTAAATGGTGTTTAGTTTATCTGCATTTCTGTTGATATTTATGGGCTAATATACATGATTTAGCCTAGACACACATCTCGACAACACCGATTATGACTGCAGAAATTTAGCCTAAACAAAAAACATAGATTCGCATGGTAATAAAAGAAGGATACAAGCCTACCTTCAGAGGTGGATAGTGAATCCTGCAAAACTTTCTTACTTTTGACTTTTTAAGTAGCTGTAACCTCTGCCTGCAGCTTTATTCTTACTTCATCAAGGCAAGTTTCAAGGTTCCTGAATTCTTCAGTGTCTGAAAATGCCCCAGCCTAAAATGCCACTTACAACAACATTATAAGTAATTAATACTTCTAGAAAGTTGTTACGACATGACCAAGCATAAACATAAATGACTTACCATGTACTAGAGACTAAGAATCAGTCAAGATCAACTACACTCGAGTAACAATTATTTATTGCAAAGTCATTTCATTTTGAGTTGTTTTAGTTAATCGGACTGTTAGATCTAGTGGTCAATTTATGTAATTTGTTGGACCCGTCACACATTTGGGGCCTAAAGAATCTTCAACTTAAAACTTAAAATGAATGATGAAAACGAAAATATTTCAAATCCTTACAGCTGAATCAGTAAAATTAACTACATAAAAAGTTGAAAAAGTTTAACAGTTAAAACATAGAAAAGATAATTCATAAATGCAGGCAACAATGCAATCTACAAATAGTAATGCCAAACAACTTGCCTGTTTTAGTGTGTTCTTCAAGTGCATCTCAGCCGTAAGTAGTTCTCGACGACTATTGGTAGAGGAAGAGATATCCATGTAGACCTTACAAAGATCCGACGAGGCCTGTGCAAAGCTTTTAAAGCGGTCTCTATCTTTCCACAAATCAGATCCCTGAGACAGAGAGAGACTTATTCATGGCATAACAACAATAAAATCACTAAAAAGCTCTCCTGAGGGAAGAGTTGACAACTTATCCCAGTCCAGAATCAGAAACTCAAATAAGCATAAACATCATTCAAGGAAAAGAATGAACTTGGTTGATCATAATGCTTTGAAAAATTAAAATTATAAAATTTACAATAGCAGCATACAAGGCATTGTAAATGTAAATGGAGATACCTGATATGATCTAACTTGCTTCAAGAGTGCTTCACAGCACATTGTGAGGTCACCTTTAATTCTATGCCATCTTGCATATAAGCCCCACAATTCTGGTCGACTTTCACTTCGAACTATCTGTATCAGACAAGTCGTATGCATTAGATATTGTGGTGATAGTAATTACTGTATCAGACAAGTCATATAAGCCCCACTTATTTACTTTTTTTGTATCTTAGCTACCACTTCAATTATAAATACAAGTATATTATCAATGTAGGCATAATTTAGCCACATCGCACAGCCCAAGTAATGCCTGCCTAAAGTATCATGTTTAAGTACAGATCCATATGACAACAAATTTAGAAGTTCTGTGATTGGCGCTAAGCATTAGAATCCTACAAGGAGACAACTTTTAACTCCCGAAGTGAGAGAGTTTACCATCACTTGTAATAAGTATAAAAGATACTAGAACATGAGAACCATGAAAGAATTTGGAACCTGTTGTAGAATTTCTCCAAGAAATTCCACCAAATGCTCATTTCCTCTCAAATTTTCACCAGTCTGCTCAGCATTTCCAGATGGATTAACAGAATATACAAGTGAACTGGAACTGGTCTGAATGGAAAGACCATCAACATCATGAACATTGTTTACAACAGGCAGTCTAACTGAAGTCCTTACCTCCAAATATTGCATGATTTTTTCAAGTAATTCAACATTAATTCTCTTATTATTGGTCATATTTAAAACCATCTTAATAGCTTCCAGCGCCTACAAAGATAAGTCAAATGAAGATAAAAAAACAATACAAGTATATTCAAAATGAAATTAATAGTCATTCAATTAATGGCTATTTCAGAAAAAAAAACTCACATGCAGAGAATCTTGAGGCTAACTAGAAAGAATAGTCACAAGGACTCATTTAAATGCAAAAAATCAAGTCATAATTTAAACTCTTCCATTTATATCCAAAAAAATCTAGATTTATCTCACCAAATGGTCTCATTCAAAAGCACAAGTTATTGTCTATCTCATTGAAAGTCATTTCCATTTATACACACTTTAACTCGTACTATTTCTTTCACAAACACTTAGTTTCTAAAATTCCATCATTTAGCATCTTCATTTGAATCAAGCAGAACCCTCCAATGAGGCCAAAGAGAGGACATGCGCAATGTTACACCAGATGGGGTATTGTAACATGGCTAGTTCTGACCAGCTAAGTACCACCTCAAAAACAAACAGCTTAGGCAGGATTATTACCTGACCAGTATTGCCAACATCAAAAGCAACATTACTGTAGTTCTCCCACATCTGCCAACTGTCTCGTCTGTAACCAAAACAGATTGTCAGTACCGCACAGCAATAAACAGTGTGTTTGAAAATACAGGCCTGGTGTGTGCATAACGTGTGATTTAATGAAAGTTAGAAAGCAGTACTTATATTTCAAGGCCTCCTTGAAGGCAATAAAGGACTCTTTGTTCTTCTTCTTAACCATATGCCTGCACGATCAACAGTTATGTTCCAATTGATTAAATTTTCCATGAACTGAAGTCTATATGGTTGAAAATAGTGACACAATTTCCATCAAAATAATAAGAATTATGACGTAGTAAATTCCCACATTGAAGGAGGCAGAAAACTCAAATAGTGATTTTTTTATATATAATAATAGGAGGTCTCGTTAAAAACCCCCTTCATAATTGTCCGTCCTCCAAGGGGGGGACAAACAACCAGCGGAAAGAGGAAAAGAGCACCTCAAGTTTTATTAAAATAAGGGTTTTTCAAAGAACCCAAACATTACAACCAACACAGAGAAGAAAATTCCATTACATGAAGCAAACACTACTCAAAGACCCTTATCCTAAAATCACCCAATCCCTCTTTTAGCTAATTCATCTGCTTCCCAATTAGCACTTCTCAGGATCAAACGTAATAACACTTCTTTTGACAAAACCAGGGACCTAATCTCTCTAACAATAAGCTCATAACAAGTAGGACAGCTAGAAGGGTTTTTAAGCCAGTCTAAAGCGTTATTCCAATCACTTTCTCAAATAGTGATTGATTCAGATCAAAAGACAGTTCAACAAAGATATATCTCAAAAGGTCATGGAACCAAGCTTCAAAGTTCTCAAAAGCAGCTTCTCTAAACTCCCAAACGAGCCTAAATGAAACTCAAACATGGTTTTGTTAGTTCCAAAATAAACAATTGTTCCATGGTATGTCATAGACAACAATTTTCTTCGATAGTATCTAGAACCAAAACAAAATCTTCAGATAAATTCTCAATTGTAAGTCTTTACTTCCACTTCAAAGATGTCACTTTTACGGATAAATTTTACTTATTAAGTGCGGCACAGATGTAGAATGTTATGTTGCTCTAGCTCTTCATTTTCAATGGAGCATCTACGTCCAACATTCATTTATAGAACATGGGTAGAGAGCTCTTTATTCATCTAGGAAATTTTTAACAATCCAAAGTTAAGATGGACGTACAAGGAAAATAATAATTGGAACCTATGAAAAAATGGCAAGGCTATGTACTTGGTGTTTATTGAATAAAATTTTGAGGAACTCTTTTCCTCCTTCCAACGTTCGTTAAGATATATTCATAGCTT